CAAAAGTATCATCAACATATCCCACATATAGAGGTGAGAGACTTTTGAGAGCTGCTAGGGCTTTGGATTCGACTAAAGGTGGAAAAAGATGGGCAACAATTCTCCGTTTTTCAGTTATGCCAATCCGGCTAATGACCGCTGCATTTATGAGTTCATAGGAGTTGGATTTCTCTGATTCCAACACATCTTGTGCTTCGCCGACGATGTATGGGGGGAAAAACTGCGACCACTTGGTGAAACCCACTACTTTCTGCAGTCATACTACTCAAGGCAAAAGTCGGTCCCGACTGAGCAAACCTAGCCCTGGGGTTACTTTCGCTGAAAGGTGGGAACGGAAAGACAATTACATTTATCTCAGCTTCAATACATTTAGGTTCGCTCGTAAAGCAAACCGTACAGTAGATTGAAATTATTCAAAAAGTGAAAAAAGATGCAGTTGGAAGAGTGCAAAAAACTGGTTAAAAATGTTGAGTTATCACCGAACAAATCTTTTAAAATGGTGAACAGGTACTCGGGGACCAACAAAAAAATTAGGAGACGAATCGCTCACCAATTTAGAACTCTGGATACCAGGTACTTACTGGATCTCGAGAATGAACTATGAAACGGGCAACAAGCCAAATTTCCGAAATGTGCCAAAAGACGTGAAAGTAAGTAGAGTGGATGAAGGAAGCTTTCTGCTGAAACGATGTCGTTGGTATTCACGTTTGGGAGTGACTTCGGACTCTATACCAGCTAAGTGACCTGACCTTTCAGCCGTCCGCAAGCTCAGCAGTCAAAATCGTGTTGTTCAACTAGAGGGAACCAAATGTCCTTGCTGCAAGCTGGCACAAAAAGCACGGTTCTGTGACCTGGAACAACACACAAACTGCTTAGAGCTCGGTGCTAATTGGATATGATTGTCTGCGGTGTTTTTGGTCATGAATTTACACGTTCACATTCAGTCGTCAAACTAGCGGTGGTGTTGGCTAACCTGAGAGAATACGGCCGAAAGAAATCCAGACGCTCAATCGGCCTCGGCCACCACCGATCCTGTGCAAACTGAGCTAAACTGGACCAAAATGAACCTCTTCTGACCTGAAATTAAACAGCCATAAGTCAGCGGTTCCAGGTTGCGTCCACCCAGCTATCACAAAGCCGCTGGCGGATATAAGCCCCATCGGTGCGCAGGCTGTGCGGGTCCACGTTGGATTAGAGTAAACGGCCTCAGGACTGGAAAGCCGCGGCCGTTGTGGCAAAACAAGGAGTGGACCTAAGTCGGCTCTCTGCTCTTCCTCATCTTCATCAACGACCTAGCATGTGGGCTTACAAAACCCACCTTCATGTTTGCCGATGACGTCAAGATAGCTGGAGTAGATATAGAACTTGACGTGTTAGCAGTACAAAACTGGGCACGCAAATGGGACCTTCCACTAAGCCTCACCAAGTGTCATTGCTTGACCACAAATACAGGGGCTAGTGGGAATAGTGTGGGTTCGTTGCAAGTGGTCTCGCAGGTCAAAGACTTGGGCGTTATAGTGGACAACAGCTTTAAGCCGTCGAAGCAGTGCACCTCAGCAGCCAATACGGCCAGGAGAGAACTCTTTCGAGTAAGGTCCATTGTGTCGTGTAGAGATCCGGAGATTTTCGTTCCGATATATAAGGCCATGGTTAGGCCGCATATGGAGTATGCGTGCAGGCCTGGGCACCGTACTACCAGAAAGATATCGACTGTCTGGAGAAAGTGCAAGGGCTAGTCACTAGAATGGTGGCTGGGCAAAGGGGGTTTAACTACACAGGGCGTCTCCGTGCCCTAGACCTATTCTCGATGGAAAGACGGCGCATTCGCGGTGATTTGATAGAAACCTTCAATGTAATGAAAGGACTGTCAGGAATAAGACGAGAAGACCCTTTCTCTCTGATCCCCGAGAGAGGCACAAGGGGGCATAGCCTAGATTACAAAGGAATCATTCGAGGCTCCAAATTAGGGCGAAGTACTTCTCAAATAGAGTGGTACCCTATTGGAATAAGCTCCCGCAAGATGTCAGTTCAGTTCAGTTCAGTTCAGTCTGCACAGGACAGGTAATGACCACGGCCAATCGAGCTTCCAGAATTCCTTCGATGGTATGCACACCAGTTATGCACCCACCACTGCCGAGTGTATTTCGTCGAATCCCCGCTAAAAATGAGAGGGAAACGGAAAACCTCATCGCACATCAACTGCGAGAGACATTATGCATCGTGAGCGTTCACTGAGACAGTATGCAATGAGGGAAAAAGTCTGCTAAAACATACTCCAGAAGGACCACAGTGTTACCCGTCATCCATCTAGTTGATATATTCAAGGCTCACTACAAGGAAAGATCTCGTACCACTTGCGATCAAGGGCACCTTTGAGGGATTGGACTGTCTGCAGATCTACCATTCCACCAGGCAGACCGTTCCAACTGTTCACAACCCTGTTGCTGAAGAAGTGCGATCTAGCCATCAACCTAGATCGGGCTTTTATCAACTTCTTTTCGTGTCCCCTTGTTCTGGAGTCTACGGCCACTTGGAATAGACTATCTGGTCTAGGGCCAGAAAAGCCCTTCATTACCTTGAACGTTTCTATGAGATCCCCTCGACGTCTCCTCCTTTCCAACGAGAAGAGATTCAGGTCACAGAGTCTCTGCTCGTAAGTCTTACCCCTCTGCCCTTCAACCACTCGCGTGGCGAGACATTGGTCTTTCTCGAGGGAGGCGGCGTCCTTTTTGTAGAAGGGTGACCAAGCCTGCGCGCTACCTTCTAAGTGAGGTCGTACTATAGCCATGTAAATATGTACGAATACCTCCGGCTGACGGCAAGACAAAGCTGATCGCAGTCTAAAGAGCTCCCTACGAGCCTTATGCGCAGCAGCGTTGCACTGCTCCGACCATTTGAAGTCACTTTTCATGATGATCCCCAGGTCTTTAACCCTACTGGCTGCCTCTACGGTGAACAGCCCTTGATCATGAGCGACAGTTAGGCTCTCTGTTGCCCTTGACAACAAATGGCTTTTTTGAGCGTTTAGAGGTGAGTCCCATTTGTATGCCCAGTTTAGGACGGTAACTATTTCCCTGCCCAAGTCCGCCCTACCCTTAGATCCAACAATCTTCACATCATCCGCAAAAATAAAGCTGGGCGATTGAAGAGTGGATGCTAGGTCATTATAAATAACAAGAATAGGACCGGGCCTAGGACGGATCCCTGAGGTACACCACTGGTGACGTTCACCAAACTGGAGCACCTGTCCCCCACTTTGACGTAAAGCGTCCTGTGGGAGAGGAAGTCCTGCAGCCACCTATATACTGGCCCACCTATCCCGAAAGTCTCCATTTTGCGTAGCAAAAGACGATGATTAACGGAGTCGAACGCCTTGCTAAAGTCGAGGTAGCATACCTCAACTTGCTTACCTTCGTCCAGTCGTCGAGTTACTTCATCTAAGAAGCACAGGAGATTGGTCAGGCAAGATCTAATTTTCAGGAATCCATGCTGCGCCGGGCTTAGCATGGAGTGCTGCAGTAAGTGCTGGCAGATATGGGCACGGATGATCTTCTCGAGGACTTTACAGAGAATGCTAGTTAGGCCTACTGGCCTGTAGTTCTGCACATCCGACTTAGGCCCACTCTTATGTATTGCCACGACTGCCGCGACTTTCCAGTCCTGAGGCAGCTTTCCCTGGTCCAACGTGGATGTGTACAGCCTGCATACCGATGGAGCTATGATATCCGCCAATGGCTTGATGATAGCTGGATGAATGCCATCTGGGCCCGCTGACTTGTGGCTGTTTAACTCCTGTAGGTACTTACGCACGCATTCCTCTGAGAGATCTAGCTCGTTTAACTGAGGAGGATGCACCAGAGCAAGATCTACTCGTACCCCACTATCTATCCTATGTACACTACCAAAGTATTCCCCCAGGGCGTCTGCTTTGCCCTGGTCATCAGTGACAATACCATATTCTCTAGTGGATAGCGGACCTATGGCATTTCTTGTTGAGCCTTTAGACTGTACATAGCTGTAGAACTTCATCGGCTGTTGTCTTGCAGACTGGGCCAATTTGAGCTCAAATTCCCGCTTAGAAGTTCTCAAAAGGATTACAGTCTCGTTTCTCAGCTTCGTATAGCGGTTCCAGGCTAGCTGACCGCCGGAAGCTTTGTACTGGTTCCAAGAGCGGTTTCTACGTCTGATGGCCTTGGCTATTGCAGCCTTCCACCACATGGGTTTGCCCTCCCCACTCCTTCGTTTTAAGGGTGCGAACTCTTCCTGTAGGGCAGTCAGGGATCACTTTGTGGCCCGCCAGCGCTCCTCCACAGTAGCCTCCTCTGGCGCGTCCCAGGTCAAACCCATCGCCCTATTACGAAGCCTATCTATGTCCATACTACCGAAATTCCTAATCAGCCTTGAGGGTACCTTCGGTTGCCGCATGCATAGAACACAACCGTGAAGGCTTTCAAGAAAGCAGTAGACCTATGTTGGGTGGCAGTATACCCCGAGTTATGTTAAGCAGCTTTTAGGGTCAGATGCAATTTACTTATTGTTTCCACCTTACTCTTCCAGGGCTGATACTGCACAAAATTTCTGCCTTTCAGAAAAAGAAATTCACGCAGTGTGGGGAGCTATGGAAACGCGCCGACAACACAACTATCTGGACACACGATTGGCTCTAGCCACACAAAGTCCTGTGCAAACTGAACTGAACTGAACTGAACTGAACTGAACTGAACCTGACCTCGAAGCGAATTCAATTTATGGCCTTGAGTTTCGAGGGCCGCCCGCAGGAAACGCTCCCAGTTGCTGGCGCGGTCTCTCAGAGAATGTCCACTGCTCCGGCGTTGGACGTCAATGATCTCATCAAGCGTTTACTTAATGGTTTGATTTGGGTTTAATAATTGCTCGTATCACAAGCTAGACATTCGAGAACAATAAAAAATGTTCACATGACCGAGGGAGAACTTCGTGCCCTATGTCATTCAGCAAGGGAACTTTTTATTTCGCAGCCAATGCTTCTCGAGCTAGATACGCCTCTTCAAATTTGTGGTGAGTATTTTTTAGATTTTGTGTTTTGGTCTTCCTCAATACTAGAGCAGAAAAACACCCCAATAACCTGCAAAAATGTGCCGTTGTAGCAAAACCGCTTCGAAACCGATCGGTTTTCGGTCAGTTTTCGAGTGGTTTGCACTGTTGCACTGATTGGTCTTCGAGCGGTTTCTGAGCGATTTATCAGTGGTTTCTGAACGGTTTCCGAGCGGTTTATCACAGCCAGCACGATCGTCACCTGAACGTCACCTGAACGTCACCTAAGTATCCTTTGGTTGTCACCTGAGTGTTCCGCTTGAAATGAAAAGGGACACCCGGGGGACGGCCACGGAAACTTGTGTAGCCATACTCCTTTGCTCCCAATAGTTTTCTAGAAATAACTTCCACTTGGGACATCTGAATACATGGTTACATGTTAATTGACATACTGGTATTCTACGGAGTAGGTGAAAATCGCCACGTACATAAATCCGATTATTACGCAATAACCTTAAGGATAATTCCGAATTCAAAATTGAGCGGAATTAATCCTCGGAGTTCCAAGAAAATACAGATTTTACAAAAGATAATTATGTATCGCGGAGTTGATACATCCATTTACACTGGGATCTTCAACGAACAATTGCTATCTGACCATGTGTCATCTCAGTGTATTTGGCAGTATCTGGAGCAAAGGAAATAAATAAGATACTTGCTAAGTCGTGGTAACATTAACTATCGTTATAATTCTGAACGTTACAAATAGACTTATGAGACGGTTAAGCAGTGCAGGAGATATTAACACTGGTCAAATCAAAACTGACTTCAGCACTTTCAGTTTGCACGGCGACGTCCCGGAACGGTGAATCAGTGCTGGTTACCTCAATCGGTCTGCATTTTTGTATACAACGTTTTATCCTTCTGTTTATAAAATGTTTTTTTAGCCCCGGAGAAGTTGCGCTTAGTTATTGCATCTACTAATACAGAATAGGATAACTCTGAACGGCACACTTGCCGACAGTTACTATAAACTTTTTTATTGGCAAGTGATTGTCACCCATGGACATCACGCCAGTTTGATTTTTACAGAAAACAATCGGAGATCAGTGTATACATAATTTGACACACAATCACCGGTTGTGTGTTCGTGTTCCCGGGGCATCAAGGAATTGCATCTGCTAATCCCAGGGTTATCAACAGAATAAGTTACTATTTGATCGTAGGAGGTTTCATCCTCCGATTTCCGGTTCAACCTATTGAACTCCCATGCATTTCGCACAGGAATGGCGCATTGCATCAGTTGCACGGATGCACGTGCATTATGTTCAAATGTGCAAAATTTGAGTTCCAAGTCCCATAACGTTCCCTGTATTTCCACAACACGAGTTGTTAGATCAATAATGATAGTTGCGATCGATGAACGTAACATCTGAAATTGAACATACACACCAAAGTTTTTCCATAAGTATTATGTTCCGAAACTCGGTTTTTCACATTTTTTATCTTTGCCACTGTTTCCATCTTTCTAGAAGTAGAAAATATGACAATCTATATTAAACATGCATACTATATAACGTATCTCTCGGTGTCTCTAATATGGGTTGGGGTAGTTCATGTTGTGGAGTGTGTTGTAACTTGTGGTCGGAACATGTTGAAATGGATAGATACGCACGTGGTGACTACTGGACACCAAATATAGCTAAAATCGGCAGTTGTTTCCAGCCGAATCCGTTTCGGTGGTGAAGCGGCAGACATATCTTCCAGCACCGGTGACGGCGATGGATCAAATGCAAATGCTTTCAGTTGGTCGGTTTCCTCATCTGAACTGGTATCTGAAAAGTGTTCCGGTTTCCTGGCAAAGGCATTTTGTCAGCATTAGTTCGTCTACCCTTTTTTTTACCGAAGCAATCCATTGCCGTTGTTGCGTCGGAGGATGGTAGTTCGGTGGTGTTCCAGTGGTTTAGAGCTTTGGCTTACTACCTCGGAGGTCAGAGGTTCAAATCCCCGCCATCATCGGTTACTTTGGTGGTAGACAGTAATCCACTGTCGTCTGGATCGTTACCACATCTGACCTGTTGGGACATCATGTGTTTCTTCCCCACTGCAAATCTCAGGGTCTAGTTTCTGGTTATCCCCAATAGTGCAGCGGGGCTTCGTGGCCATGGGATGATTGCCCTTTCTGCTGCACTTATGCTCAAGCAGGTAATAAAAAAAGTTCCGACAATGCTGCCAGAAGTCTTTGATAAAGAAGGGCGTCGTCAAACTTATTTACTAGTAACGGGCACTGAGAAGGCACTTACAGAACCTTCTATGCACCGTAAGATCGTACACAGCGGTGTTCGATGGTTCCTGCTTTCCTCACGAGTGAGTTTCTGGTTTTTGATGGTATGGCAACGGGGCCACCTGACCTTACTGTGGCCAATCGTCAACTTGTCATTTACGATAGCAACCGCGTGATATTCTAGGAACTCGACGACGACAAACATTTGAAATAGAACGAATATGAATTACGTTTAAAGATTTAGCACAAAGTCGCTCATGTGTGATATATGGGATAAAACACCCATTTGTCACCGTAAGGCAGCAGCAAACCTTTGCGCATGACCTCATTTTGACTATAAAAGACCGTTATTTTGGACAGATTGTGACAAAGAAAGATGCCAAATTGCCCAGAGGGAATTGGGTAGTTGAAGAAATCGTCACAGTGTTCAAAGAAATAAGCACACAATAGTGCGCCTTCTGTTCCTTGGATGATAGCCGGTCTGCGGTCGATCAGTGCAAAATGTTTTGGCGTTTCATTGCCGTAAATGGTTGAACCAATGCCAGCCAATTAACCATTCACATCCTTTCGTTTCACGGACCGGAAGAAAACATTGTCCCAGAATTTTACATTCTTTGAACAGATTAGCCTCAGAACTTCGTTCCTGAGTGCAACGAAACACTTGTTCAGCAATCAGGTTTTGACTGGTCACAGTTGCGAATAATCTGCATGTGGAACTCAAACGGAGAAGCATATGCCAGTCGTGAGAAATACGTGATACGCTTCATTATTTTCTATCGTTCCTCCAAAATTACGTTTTCCATTCCTCACTTTACCTCCGAAATTATGAATTTTTGATAATTGTGCTTATTTAGCCCATAAAATAGGATGATCTGCAACTTAGTTTTTAAGGGCATTATAGTGTGTTCAAATCAATACATAGTAAAATGAAATGCTTATTAGACAGTGTGCATTACTCCAGTAGTCGAATTCCTTTGTATCAGCTCACTTTTGATCTGTGCCAAATGGCTACTAAACACACCGGTCGGAAGTCGTTTAAAAACCAATGTTACGAACGGGCTGTATGCTGAAAAGGTAAAATATGCTTGCAACGCATGCATCGCTCCCAAGCAACACTCATATGAGCCCCCTGTGGACAAACTATAGGAAAGCTGTGGGCACTATACGATATTTGACAGCGCTACCGGGGCCTATATGGGGCCCAGATAATCATGCCTACACTTCGGGAAAAACGCGCAGGAAATTAGTACCCTCTTTACGGCTTTCAGGTGAAACTTCTTGCTGCTTTACCTAAATAAAATTGCACGAGTCTCTCTCCTCTGTCGTTCAAAGGAGAAATTAATTTGTGAAAGCGCGCATAAATTATGTAAATTTACGAATGACGCTTATTAAAAATATGGTATGTTCATTCCTGTTAGTTCAGTTGGGTAGTGGTATATTTTCGTCCTGTGCACGTTGTTGTCATCTCCGAAAGTGAACAGGTAAGTATGCATATATATATATATATATATATACTATACTATACTATACTATACCATTTCCCACAAAATTCCTTTGCGGATACCAACAGCTTGTACAAAAACGAAAATAAACTACCAACCAACTGAACTAATGGGAATGAACGTACCGTACTTTTTAATGCGCATGATTCGCAGATTCGCATGATTTGTGCGTTTTTTTTTACAAATTACGATGTTCTTCTCGAACGCAGTGGGCAAAGTGGTGGTTTTGAACGACAAAATAGGGGGATCTACATAGGTCTATTTAAGTAAAGCAACGGGTTTTCATTTGAGAGCCGTAAAGATGGTACTAATTTACCGCACGTTTTTCCCCCGAAGTGTGGGCATGCCCGTATGGGCCACGGTATCGCTGCTCAAACATCGTAGTGTCAGTGCCTGCAGCTTTCCCAAGGTGTGCCCATGCGAAACCCATATGAAGCTCGTATCATTGTGCCTCCTGGGTTATGTCTATGTACACCATATACGTTAATGTAAGTGGGAGAAAAAAACGTTAAATGAATTTTAGACAGTTAAACTGGACTAAGTAACTGTCATGAGTCTCCAGTCGTTAAGTGTACAACATGTGGCAAAGATCCATTGGATGATAAATCCTACTATGATTTACGTTAGCACTCCAAACTAATAGTAGCAATAAACAATAAATAAGCCCTAAGTCCATAAATTCAACACGGTGGGCAATCCTCACGCTTACCCACAGAACTGTGGGTATCCCCACGCTTTACCAATTTTGCCCACAACAGCTGTGGGCAATGTATTCCTTGGGACGAGCCTTGACTGCAAACTCACGTATGTCTAAAATCTGTTGCAGTTTAACGTTAAAAATACGTATAAAGTCTTGGTGTCTTAAAGCTCTGCACAGGTTCGAGGTTTTGGGCCTCATTGTCTTGGTTCGTGATGGAATCTTTGATCGTCTGACGAATTCACCAGCTGAAACGAGACTAAAGGAAGGCGGATGGGGGTGATAACCAAAACCAAAGTATACATAACATCAGACAGGGTCTCACCATGGACAGTGCCTTAACACGAATAAAAGCGTGACGCTTATAAACATATAACGGGATGGTAATGCAATAAAAGACATACATTTAACTTTTTTTAATTTTCGGACAAGGAATTACTGTGGAAGACTCGGGTAAAGGTCTACTTTTTTTTCTTGAAGGTAGTTTGTTCCTTCAGAAGAACAGTATCTTCCGGAAGAGCGTTCCACAAAGTAATAAATC